CTTTCTGTGGACGACATGCTCGCAAGATGGCAAGGGGGTGATGGATGCAGACCTTGTCGTCAGACAGGGTCGCCTTCTTTGCAAACGGACTTCCCCCGTGTTTGCCTTAGGAGGAAAAAGAGCAGCGTTGTCCGCGATACTTTTTCAGATATAACAAACAAGGGTGGTGAAAGGAATAAGACTAACGTCAACCAAAGGTGGATGTGTCTCTATTTCTGAGCCCCCTTTTTGTTTTCCCGTGCAGGGAATTCACTATGTTGTTGGTGGATTCCCTTGTGACTTGCTTTGTTTGGTCCAAACAAGGTTTTGTCATTTATGCATGACAAATGGCGCCGTCGTTGCCATTCTTCTCGAGTGGGTGGGTGTGGTGGGTTCCCCTTTGTTGCAACGCACTGAACAGCAGTGAACTTTTTGCCCGCCCTCCCATCCCTGTGTTCACCTTTGGGGGTGATGGATGCAGACCTTGTCGTCAGACAGGGTCGCCTTCTTTGCAAACGGACTTCCCCCGTGTTTGCCTTAGGAGGAAAAAGAGCAGCGTTGTCCGCGATACTTTTTCAGATATAACAAACAAGGGTGGTGAAAGGAATAAAGTATGGTATCTATGAGTCTGTTTATCACATGGTTAACTCATGTATATCTCAGATAGGTTTGGTTATGGTCCGCCGGATATATAGTAGACTTAGGAGTAGCTAGTCAGGAAAGTAAAAGATAATAAGTTTTTGTATCTTGCACACATCTACTACCAAAAGATATAGAAGATATTAAAAAATAATATTCTTTGTTTGGTATTTCTTTAATCTTATTTTTAGTATTTTTTTAAAAAAAACATATTTTTACATGTTTCAATCGTTTTTCCTTGGCTTGCCAATTTAGATAGCGAGCCATATGCGCTTTTCACGCAAAAAGACATTGCTACTATTACGAGGCAGCTGTATGGTGATGAAACCCTCCAAACAAGTCCCACTTCACCAAAAGCAGCAGGCCGACCAAGCAGGCCAACTACAGGCCCTGAAAGGTGTCCAGCTTCACGAAAAATGGCAGCACAGTGTCACAGACAGCAAACAAATTAGAAGCTCTGGCCAGTGAAAAGCCCTGCTGCGCAGAGAAAAAAAAGGCAGGCGCACACAACAACAAAACTAGAAGCCTAATGGAAAAAACCCACTTCACGAAAAGCCGCAACCCGATCATGCAGGCCAGTGACAGGCCCTGAACAAAAATCACCTTCACGAACAAAATTGCAGCTAGAGACAACAAGCAAATGGGAAGCTCTACTGAAGAAATCCCAATCCATGAATAGCAGCAGGCCGACCAAGCAGGCCAGTGACAGGCCCTGAAAAAACAAACTGCGTAATATTTTTTGGCAGCCACACACAACAAACAAACTAGAATCCCAATGGAAAAATCCAACTTGAAGAAAAGCAGCAGGCCGACCAAGCAGGCCAGCGACAGGCCCTGAACAAAATCCACCTTCACAAAAGATCGTGGCAGCTAGAGACAACAAGCAAACTAGAAGCCCAATGGACAAAATCCAACTTCAAGAAAAGCAGCAGGCCGACCAAGCAGGCCAGTGACAGGCCCTGAAAAAAATCCACCTTCACCAAAAAATATGGCAGCTAGAGACAACAAGCAAACTAGAAGCCCAATGGAAAAATCCCACTTCAAGAAAAGCAGCAGGCCCAGTGACAGGCCCTGAAAAACATCCACCTTCACCACAAAATATGGCAGCTAGAGACAACAAGCAAATGGGAAGCTCTGCTGAAGAAATCCCACTCCATGAAAAGCAGCAGGCCGACCAAGCAGGCCAGCGACAGGCCCTGAAAAAACCGAACTGCACAAAAAAAACTGGCAGCCACACAACAAGCAAACTAGAATCCCAATGGAAAAATCCCACTTCAAGAAAAACAGCAGGACGACCAGGCAGGCCAGCGACAGGCACTGAAAAAAAATCACCTTCACAAAAATTTGGCAGCTAGAGACAACAAGCAAATGGGAAGCTCTACTGAAGAAATCCCAATCCATGAAAAGCAGCAGGCCGACCAAGCAGGCCAGTGACAGGCCCTGAAAAAAACCAACTGCCAAAAAAGCAACTGGCAGCCACACACAACAAGCAAACTAGAAGCCCAATGGAAAAACTCCAACTTCAAGAAAAGCAGCAGGCCCACCAAGCAGGCCAGTGACAGGCCTTGAAAGAATCCACCTTGACCAAAGAAAGTGGCAGCCACACTCAACAAGCAAACTAGAAGCCCAATGGACAAAATCCAACTTCAAGAAAAACAGTAGGCCCACCAAGCAGGCCAGTGACAGGCCCTGAAAAAAGTCCACCTTCACAGAAAAATGGCAGCTAGAGACAACAAGCAAACTAGAAGCCCAATGGACAAATCCCACTCCATGAAAAGCAGCAGGGCGACCAAGCAAGCCAGTGACAGGCCTTGAAAAATACCAACTGCGCAAAAAAATGCATTTGTTCTTTTTTGTTTTTTTGAACTCCCCAGGTAAAGAAACTTCATTTTTGGAACTGGTTTGTTCGAACTCCCCAGGTGAAGAAACATCGCTGTTGGGACTCGGGATTTTGAACTTTTTGAACTTTTTGAACTCCCTCCCCAAGTAAAGAAACATCACTATTGGGACTCGGGATTTTGAACTTTTTGAACTCCCCAAGTAAAGAAACATCACTGTGGGGGCCCGGTGTTTTGAACTTTTTGAACTTGTTGAACTCCCCAAGTAAAGAAACATCACTTTGGGGCCCGGTTTTTTTTGTTTTTTTTTGAACTTTGCTGGTCTCCCCAAATCAGGAACTAGGATTCGAGGGACCCTGGATGTTGACATAATATGTTTTTCCAAAATTCCCAAGTAAAGAAGCATGACTTGAGCGACCCAACTTGGGTAACTGCCACCAACCCAAACTAAATTAAACAAGCGGCCCCTCCAAACAACAAACCCAAACTAAATGGAAAAAGCGGCCCCTCCCCACAACCAACCCAAACTAAATGAAACAAGCGGCCCCTCTGGAAACAGCGGGCCCCTCCAAACTACCAACCAAAACTAAATGAATCAAATGGCCCCTCCAAACCAGCAACCGAAACTAACGGAAAACCGGCCCCCTGCAAACTGCCTACCCAAACTAAATGAACAAACCCAAACTAAGTGGAAAAAGCGGCCCCTCCCCACAACCAACCCAAACTAAATGAAACAAGCGGCCCCTCTGGAAACAGCGGGCCCCTCCAAACTACCAACCAAAACTAAATGAATCAAATGGCCCCTCCAAACCAGCAACCGAAACTAACGGAAAACCGGCCCCCTGCAAACTGCCTACCCAAACTAAATGAACAAACCCAAACTAAGTGGAAAAAGCGGCCCGCTCCAAACCTCTTCTTTGCAAAGCCAGGCTTTCCCTCTTTGTTTTTTACGCTTGGGGATTCTCAGATACTTATTTTACTGTAACAAGTACACATTTTATTGCGCCAGGATGATGCCGTTGTTCGGATTTCGATTATATATGGCTATGACTTTTTAAAGGTATGTGACGCCCGACGCAGCGCGATTCTTGGCAAGGAGGTATGTAACAGGGGCTCTTGTTAGTCTGTCATGAGAGAAAAGTGCTTGACACCTCCGCAGTTCCAGCACGAAAGTCGCAACTATTGATTCATCCGGCCCCTTGCTATTTTCTTCTGCTGAAGGGCAAGCTCCTTGCAACTCTGTACATGAGTTTATCTTTTTATATCTTTTTAATCCTTTTGTAATCGTTGTTTAATCTGTTTTTCATGTTTTCTATATTTTTCTTATCTTTTTTATTATCTTGTTTATCTTTTTTCTTAACCTTTTTGAATTTAAATCTTTTTGTATCTTTTTTACATCTGTTTTTCTATCTTTAGTAGAAGAAACACTAGATACTAAGTTCAGACTACGTGTCCGGTATCTAGACTATCTACTTACTTTCTCTTATATCTGCATTATCTTGCCACGAGGCTTCTTAGCACGCACACACACACACACACCCACCCACGCTCACGCCCACGCCCTCGCGCGCGCGCACGCCCCACCGCGCGCGCCTGCCCGCCCGCCCGCCCACGGACACGGACACGCGCGCGCACGCGCATGCACACGCACACGCGCGCGCACAACCGCACGTTTATGCACGCGCGCGCGCACGCGTGCGCACACGCGCTCGCACACACCCGCGCGCACGCGCACGCACAATCACACACCCGAGCACACCCACCCACCCACCCACCCACGCACGCACGCACGCGGACACGCACGCGCGCGCGCATGCGCACGCACACGCGCACGCGCACACACACTCGCGCACACGCTCACGCACACGCACACGCACACGCACACCCACACACCCACCCACCCACCCACCCATCCACCCACCCACCCACCGACCCACGCACGGGCACGCGCACGCACGGGCGCTCGCGCACGCACACGCACACGTACACGTACACACACACACACACACACGCAGGCCCGCACATGCCTGCACACGGCCGCGCGCGCCCGCATGCCCGCTCGACCACGCCCGGACGCCCACACGCCCACGCTCATTTGCACGCACACGCGCACACGCGCTCGCGCGCAACCCAACACAGAACACAACACATCAAACACACAAGACAACACGCCTTGAAACGCATTACGCACCACACAACGCAAAACAAAACACGCAGCGGCTGCGAGACGCAATGCGCACACGCACACACACACACACACACACACGACTCAAGATGCAACAATCAGGACAGCGGCTGCAAGTGTCAGTGCGTGTGCGTGCGTGACTGCGTGACTGTGTGTGCAAGTGCCAGTGTGTGTGTGTGTCTGTGTGTGTGTGTGTGTGCGGGACGTGGGGTGTGTAGAGTGGTGCAGCGCGCAACGTCGCAGCCGGTGTGGTGTGGTGTGGTGTGGTGTGGTGTGGTGTGGTGTGGAGTGTTGCGCTGTGATGTTCACTCTCTCGCTGGCACGCGCAAGTGACCATGCTTCGACAGCCGTCGCTTGAGGCAACAGCACATGCATTCAAACCAACCTGGACTCCTCTGGCGAGTTCGAGTCGGAGACCGCGGCTACGCTTGCACTTAGAGTGCTAACTAGAGTTGGGCAAGATTGTGGTCCAATCACCGTGCCGGCGTTCCTTTTGTCAAACGACGTGACATGACACATGTTGACCGAATTTGTCAGCACGCCTTCGGTGCCTCAAAGCCACAACAGGGCACGTGTTGGAGCGAGCGTGCCGTTGAGTTGGCAGAGTTTCCCAAGGTCACCTGCCTTCCTCCAGGAGAGAAGTGCTCCCCGGGCAAGAACATGAAGCGCTGTCCCTCGGGCGCGGTGCTTCCAGCCGCTTCGAAGTGCGTAAACTTGCGCCTTGCCCAGACAAAATGCATCCGAACACACCGGGCTAAGTGAGTTGCCTTGCCTGAAGGCGTCCTCTTCGCAATGATGTCCTTATTGATGGGGAACAGCCCAATGAAGTGGAAGCGTGTCAAAACCATTCTCTTTATTTCCTTAGCTAAGCCATCTGCCACCCTTTGATGGCCAAGGTTTTTCCCCTTCCAACAAGGGTTTTTCCTCGTCTGTCATTGTGCGAAGCTGTAGGGCACTGCGATGACGATTCTGCCGTACGCGGTGTTTCCTTGTTTGTTAGCCGGCGTCCATTTCCAAGGCTGCGCTCGGCTGGCGCAGGTCACACTGGGGATGTGAAACGCCGAGGTACGGCACTTCCAATGTTACAACGGTCGATGGCACTCAGAAGGAGAAGACCACTGTGTACATCACTCTGACAGGAACAAGCTACTGGACTGCTGAGATCAGGGAATCAGGGCTGGGCGGGGTTGGCAAACCGTGTGAGCAGACTTGATCAGGACAACACAAGGGCAATTTCATGTTCGGACTAGTAGATCTGTTGAAGGTATGAAAAGCTATGCTTGGCATTATTTGACTGTGCTAGATGTCTGTGTGCGAACACAAGGACACACCCACACAAGTTCCCTTCCACTTTTAGCGACCCTGCCTACGCTCCCGAACCACCTCGGCTGGCTTAGTGGCCCACTCCAGATGGGTGAACCCGCGCACGGCCCTTGTCAAGTCCTGGAACTTCGGACAAAGCGCCGCAAGAGAAACATAGGGAAGGGCAGCGGGAACACAGCGAAGCATGTAGATGCCGAAAACCGAGACAAGCTGGGACTTGGCCCAGCTTTTTGGCAGCTTGGACGGTCAGCGATCAACATCGAGAATTGGGATCCTCATCGATTTGACAGTCTGAGACAGAGCCTCATTGCGCCTGCGGGGTCTGTGTTCATTTGTGTTGTTTCTCGCAACTCATGGGAATGCTAGACATGGTTTTGGCTTCCCTATAAACGCCATAAGGGCGTCGCCCAATTTAGGACTTCACCCATGGAAACGAAGCGGCTCGCGAGGTGAGAAAGCGGCGTCCAAATCCGACACGTCCAGGGTCAAGCTCAACGGCGTGCCATGTCTCAGACCGGTGCCAGTGGCAGGGCCAAAGGGTCAACGTTCGAACCGCGTTCGCACGGGGAGCTGACTGGCTTGCCATGCTTGCCCTTACGTCGGGCGTGGCCAATGCTCCATGCCCGAATCTGTCGAGGTAAGGGAATAGACTTTTCATCCAGTTGGCTTTTGGGCACTGAGCTGTTTGCAGCCATGGCTCAAGTTTTGTGTTTCTGATTGTGTTTGTGTGCTTGCGGTTGAGTTTTTGCTTGTGTGAGTTGCCCGTTTGATCGTGCGTGTGTGCGTGAGTTTGGACTGGATGCGTATTGGTGCATTTCCCGATCGCAGCCATTCAGCCATTTAGCCAGCCACTTGGAGTGGCTGAGTGGCTGAGTGGCTGGGTGTCAGATGGCTGGTGGTGGGCTCAGAGCGGCTGAGTAGTGGCTGAGTGGCTAGGGGTCAGAGTGGCTGAGTGGCTGGGTGTCTAGTGAAGAGGGCGCTTTGTGAGAGTGTCTTTGTCCACTTTCAGGGAGGCAAGGTGAAATTCAGAAAGGTTATTTTTGTGAATCCAGGTTGTTAAGGTTGCGATGCCGAGCGTCAGAGTGGCTGCACGCTTGAGTGGCAAGAAGCTGTACTTCAATACTTACCGTGGTTAAACTCCGTGGTTTCAAGAGAATATCATGCATTTTTCGATTTTGATGAGTTGGATTAGCAAGGAACATTACCTCTTTGCGCGAGCGTCTTGTTCCACATTTAATGAAGCCGTGAAACATTACCAAAAGGCACTTCAATATTGGCTCTCTTTTGGCAAACCTAGGCTGTCAAGACATCTGCATGCCTTTATTTTATTTTGGACCGCTAAGTTTGATTACCAAGAAAAAGGGACCCCTTGTGAAGAAGGCGCTTTGTGAGAGTGTCTTTGTGCACTTTCAGGGAGGCAGGGTGAAATTCAGAAACGGCACCTTAATATTGGAGTTATTTTTAGGAACCTAGGTTGTTAAGGTTGCAATTCCGAGCGTCAGAGTGGCTGAGCGGCTGAATGGCAAGAAGATGAACTTCAATACTTACAGTGTTTTTAAATCTATGTTTTCAAGACAATTTCATGCGTTCTTCGACGTTGATGAATCGGATCAGCAAGCAAATAAATCCCCTTTTGTGAGAGTGTTTGTCCACATTCAATTAACGTGCAGGGGAGCAATGAACTGCGCATGTGTGTGTGTGTGCGCTTGTGTCTTTTTTGCTTGCGTGCAGAAGCACGAACACAAGCAGCTCCTTTTTGGGGCCCGAGGCGCTGCAGCTGCCGGCGGAGCTGAAGTCCAGCATGTCGATCGCCACGGCGTCCTCTCGACGCCTCAGCTGCTGGGCCCGTTTTTTGAGGCCCCTTTTGGAGTGGTAAATGGACACCAAAGGAACAATCACCATGTCTTTTTTGGGTGGGGGAGGGTGATATACCCCAAACATCCCAAACAAAAGCAACAAGTGGAGGTTTAAAGTACATTCGCCTCCAATGATGGAAGCTGACCAGAACAAAAACCTCTGAAGGACGAACCCTTTCCTTGTCGGGAGCCCTTCAGAACTCATTTCCATGATTGTTGGAAGGAGGCTAGGTCGTGTGTGTGTGTGTGTGAGAGTCTTTGCGCTTGTGTCTCTGTGCTCGATCAAAATGAAGTATGTTTTGTGAAGACGTGCGAAGTGCCAAAGGGAGGTGTTGACCGCTCGGGCAGGACTTCTTTTCGACAGCCCAGGCAACGGCCGCAAGCTCACGGAGACCAAGCAAGTGCTGGCCTTCACAGTGGAAAACACAGGAGGGCCAGTGCTTTGCTCCGGTTTCCTAGACGTCTTTGATGTTTTCTACCGCTCTCAAACCAGTTCAAGGAAGGAGTGCCAGTGGATTTAATGTCGATTCAGACCCTACTCAGTGTGCGCGTTGTGAGCCAGACGCTCAATCTTTCTCGTTGCGGTGCGTTTGGCAGAGCTTGGTTTGTTTGAGCCATAAGGCTTGGCTCTTTCTTGGAGGAAAGAGCTCCGTGTCCCCTTCTGCGGTGGGCGAGCAACTGAAGCAGATGGTGACCAGCAGCAATCCGGAGCTGACCAAGGCTATGAGTTCCGTCGGCGGCATCGACGCACAGGCCGGCTGAGATATCCTTTGCGCCTTGAAGAGTGAGACCCTTGTTCCGTTGAACGGAAGCAGAGAAGGCTGCTTATTCGAGGGCTGCGCGGCGCACCAGCTGTGCTGGCTGTAGGATTTGGAGCATCCTCAAAGAACAGCGAGCGAGTAGTGAGCATGTTTTTCTGTAGGCGCCTTTTGCAAGCCATTTGTTGCCTCATTTTGTACGGTGGTTTCCGTGCCTTATGGTTGCCTTACCAATGAACCTGATATGAACCTGATCACACCTGGGACCAACTTGAAACGACGCAGCGCAGGTGGCCGACCCGATTCGGAGAGCATGGCGTAAAATCCTTCATGGCGAGTCTGGCGCTAGGTACCTACAGTGCCAACATCCAATTATGTTTGAAGCGTCTAAGAAAGCTCTAAAGAGCAGCTTCATTTATGTAAAGGGCTTGTGGTAACAGAGGCCGCGAAAGGAAAACATGCAGTCGGGTAAGTGCGCGGAAGCATGTTGTTCTAGGTTTTGCGCGTAAGGTTCATGTCTTTTTCGCACAACTGGGCGGACTTTTTTCCGCGCAGGCTCCGGGGAAGCGGGGGTTGCGGCTTTGGCGCACTAGATTCTTGGACCTTGCCACTTTGTCAGCTGAAGCCGCCAAAGGCACTTCGACTGAGCGTACGGACAGGTCGCAAGCTTGGAACAGCGTAGAAGCCTATCATTCGCGTGGTCAACAGATCCGCTTTGGTGGTTTCGCCGTGTTCGCGTGGGCGGTTGCTATGCACTCTCGAAGGCCACCCTCGCAGCGGGGCTTGAGTTCAGATAAACACTTGAACAAGATCGAAGCGTGGTAGAGAAGCCCAATAGGTGCTTGACAAAAACCACTCTCGTGAGCCATCGTTGCTGACAAACGAGATGAAAGCAACATGTCTGGCGTTGATCTTAGCCTCTTTTTTCTTCAGGGCATTCCTGACCTCTTCGACCCCAGAGGATGAGATCGGGCAAACGAGGGGCAACTGGCCTGGCACGATGCCGCTCTACATGCCCTGGACCCTTGCGTCGGGGCTGGGTTTAGGGGCAGACCTCTGCGCGATAGACCGAGGCAGGTCCTTTTTCCCTGCCCCCAGGCAAAAACACATTGCACAGGCTTACTGCGGCTGTGAGTGAGAAAGAAGCCGGGGTAGCAGGAAGTTTAAGCAGGCCAGATTTGATGAGTGGCAGTTGCCCAACGCGCCTTTGGTTCTGGCCAGGCTGGCGTCAACGTTGACCAGTCCAGCACGAAGGTGGTGACCCGAGCTCAGGCGGCCAAGGACAAACGAGCCGCCCAGGCGGGAGTGATTGACCCTGACACAGAGGGCAGACGTGAGACATGGTGAAGCTGATGGTTGAAAAGGAGCCTGTGCACCCGGAGTGTGACTAGACAGATTTCGTAGCCGAACCAAGAACATGGATCCTTGAACGACCTTCGAAACAAGCCCGAGCGGAGCCCATCGGAACTTGATAGACGAGCGTTGGTCGCTTTAAGTCGCTTGAGGGCGACTCTGATTCGCAGCTCTTCATTGGAATGCCTGCAGTCGTGTTCTTCCGGACCTAGATGTCGACCCTTGCAGCCTGCGAGCCAGGCTGGGATTACCACCCTGACTACAACCACTGCCGAGGCGCAGTGGTTTGTTGTGCTTTCTTTGCCTCAGATTTGGCGCTGTCTGCCGGATGGACATAGTCTGCATAATTTTGAGAACTTTGGTATTAGCACATAGAATATGCTTTCAGTGTATGTGGATAATGTCAGTGCACGATGAGTAACCCCCCCGATTAAAGGTTCCCTTTTGCCAATAAAAGGGCTAACACCGTTTGCCAAAAACAAAGCCTACCTAATCATTTTTGGGGTCCCTGCCCCGCGGAAAGGTTCCTGGCAGCCCCCAAGCCAAGAAACAGGGGCTTTCCTTTTTGCCTAGTATGTGCCTAGTACTTAGTTTTGGCTTGTCGAAACCATGTCAACCTTGACGGGTCCCTTACTATTCAGGGGTGACCATGATCATAGATGGACTTTGTACCCTTGGGATTTCCCTTGGCCTCATTGCATCTAGTTTGGCGCTTGAACCAATTCTGTAGGCAAAAGATTGCAACTGAGTCTAGAGATGAGAGGCGATGCGCTAAACATGACTCCTTGTGGCTTTGGAATCCTTGTTGCCAGAGGCCACGACGGCAGCCGCAACCACGGCCGCTGGAACCACAGCTGCCGGAACGACGGCCGCCGGAACCACGGCCGCCGGAACCACGGCCGCCGGAACCACGGCCGCCGGAACCACGACTTCAGAGAACGTCGGGAGCACTACGAGCGGGATGAGCGGGACAGAGTACAATAGCAACGCAAATGGCAAGGTGAAAATCAAACAAACTGCCACAAGCCAGGAAAAGAACTGTTGGGCCACCGAAGTTTGGGGTAAAAGCAGCGGCCAAAGTCATGCAATATCAAAAGTCAAGTTTGTTGCATAGAGAGAGGGAGAGAGAGAGAGAGAGAGGTCTAAGAGTCCCCACTGAGGTGCTGTTGAAATCTTCCCAAATGGTGACCGCATGTTATGCAGTGCTGTGAGAGGACATCTGAAGTCACCTCAACCACGACACTGGATGTCAGGAGCTGAGCCGAAGAGACATGGACGTCAGTGTTGGAAGAGACATGAATTCATGAATCTGAGCCTTTCTGGTTACTCAAAAACAAAAAGGCCAGCGGCGTAGGCTCCGTTTGCTCAGGCCACCACGGGCGCCTTACCTGAGATTCTCGGGGAAGCGGGGGGTTGGCTGCGCGCTCAACTCTCACAGGGGCCCAAAGGCAGAAGTCGTCCGTGCAAGTGACGGATGTTGCACCGGCAAATGCTCTCATGTGGACTGAGAGCATTGCCAGTTGAGGAGATGTGGTCCTTGACCACGAAACGGATTTTCGTTGCGGCAATACACAACATATACACCATGATAAGGTTTCTGAACCCAAGTGGGGTGCCTGAAACAATGAGAATTTGTTTTGTGACAAGTATGAGTTTTTGTGATTGCACCATAGCATTTAGGTGGAGGATGGACGTATGCCACTCTCGTGGTAAGACCTACACCAGTAGCAAATTCTCCGTTTTGCTGCCAAGTTTCTGTGAGTTCTTGGTTTGGCTTCAAAGAATAGGTCGGAGCTGAGGCTGAGGCTAGCGCATCAGACATCAAGGCATTGAAGTTGGACTTGAGTTCCGGGATGATGTCATGATTTGGGCACACACCCTTGAGGTGGGGTGACTTGTGGATCCTGTTCCTCTTGAAAAAGGGAAGGATCGACATACCCGTGTTTGCTATGCAACAGACCCTTCAAATTTCTGAGCTGGAGCATGCAGTGCGGTGTGGCCAGTGTGTCCCAGGGCCTGTTTATTATTATTTTTTTCCTCAAAGGCTCTTCAAAGAGGGTGGTTTCCTAAAAGCAACCCAAAAGCAACCAAGGGGTTTCCCCCTAAAAGCAGGTTTCCCCCAAGGGGTTTCCCCCAAGGGGTGGTTTTCAAAATAGGTTTCCCCCTACAAGCAACCCAAGGGTGCCCCCATGGATCCGTTAAGGAGAAGAAGGCGGGCAAATCCCCAGCTCCGCGCGGGGCAGCTTGGCCAGCATCTCGGCCAGTGACCAAATGAGACGTGGCTGTTGTCAAAAAGATAGGGTAACCCCCAAATGGAACCTAGTAACTTAGTAAGTGGAACCATGGACCAAGTTTTTGCATTTTGTTTTCCAGGTGGTTTAATTTTGACCCAGACCCATGTGTCGATTGTGATCTGGTCAAATTTTCAACCACCAGACCGCAGGTTTGAGTCCTGGCCATTTCCACGGCTTGCATGTTGGGTTTTTGATCAGCCAGTTTGATTTAAAGATGCAAGGTTTTTTTGTCACCTCGTCAGACTGAGGTTCCTTCAGTGCGCTTGGTCTGCTCGCTGTGGTGATATTTGCATGAACTTGGTCTCAATCACGCATCAAATGTATTTCGGTACCACGTGAGCCGGATGCACTACGATGGTCTAGCACTACGATAGTCCGGCCTTTGTGGTCATTCATTGAACCAACTCATTTTTGGTTTTCAGCTCTTATCAGGAGCTGTTACTTAGATCGCAGCGGAGTTCGTGCAGCAAGAATGGCCAAGCCTTTCTTCTGTACGAGCGCATCAACTTTTACCCTCCGAGATTGCTTGAGATTTGAGGCTAGTATTCTCGAGAGGTGCTCCCGTGTCCTTTCCTAGGGGCTTGCAAGGCCCCTGACCCGGGCAGTAGATCGAACTGTTGGATTCCAGGGGCAGACTGACTGCTCCTCGCATCCACGTCTCTTGATTTTATGTTTATCCTTGCGAGATTGCTTGGGCCATGGGATAGAGCATTCTGGAGGGGTGCTCTCTCTCGGTCCTTTTCGGGGGCTTGCTGACAAGGCCCTGACCCGAGCAGTAGATCGAACTGTTGGATTCCAGGGGCAGACCGACCGCTCCTCGCATCCATGACTCTTTGATTCTCGGTCGGGTTTTGAGAAAAGACTGCATGTGTCGGACATGCAGGCATGTCAGAGAAGCCAAAACAAATCACGAGGCACAACTCTGCAGCTTGCAGAATTCAAGGCAGAGTAGATCAGTGAGCCATCAGCCCTGATTCAATGTCCTGCAATGGTTCCAAGTTTCTTCCACCTCATGGGATTGGGTTTGATCTGTTTGTTGCACCCCACACATCTTCCACAAAACGCATATCTTGCTTGCATCTCAATCATGTGCGTAGCATGTGTTTGGAGCCAACTGTTTTGACCCCTATCAACAGGTCACCCAACAAATTCGACAAGGTGCTTCTCAGCCCGATGTGCCATGTCTGATACGAGCTGGGGATGTCAGAGCGTGGAGGCTGGACTTTGGAGGTTAAAATAACTCCGCTCAGTGAGACAATGGACAACACCTTGCGAAATGTGTGCCTCTGTGGCGCATCCGGATGCTGCACCTGGCCCTTTGTGCCAGGAATGCGCTGTTCCCACCTGGGACCATGCCACAGGCCAGATGTTGGTTCCACTGCACTTGGTTAGTTACCTTGTACCGTTCCTCAAAGGTCCAACCCGTTTTGGCACTTATTTCAAATTGTGCCCCAACTCGCCCTGAAAAGCTGGCCCGGTGCTTTGGTGGAGTACTCTGTCCTGGTGTTTTGGTACATGGCCAACGGGGCATTACCTACGCGAGTGGAGGGAGGGGATGCCGTGCAACGAGCCTTGAGATTGCGGTCGCCAGGCCAATTGCTGGTCGCAGCCCTCCCGGCTTGACTTGACTCCGGGTCGCACCTGCGCACCTGAGCTCCTTGAATATCCCACTCGTGCAGTTTCTTCCATCAGATCTCGAGCTCTCGCCAGGGTACCATGTGGAGCTTGTTCGTGCTCTGCGGCAGACACGACCTGAGGGATGCCACACGGATTGCGTTCCGAGATGCTCTCAATTCACCGGTTCCGACGCGCCGAGTTCTGTGGACATGGCTAGCGCCTTTCATCAATTTCGACTTCCGCGGCACCTTTGGCCGCTACCAGCCCTGGTCCCAAGTTACAGCGGGGAAGTGCGTCCTTTCTTTCCGCTGTGCCAAGTTTCGACAGTTCTCACTTGGGTGACGCTGACAAACCATGATGGTTCTGCTGTTGAGGTAAGAGTCAGTTTCCTTTGCAACCAACTTGGAGAGACTTTGAATTGTCAAAGAACGTGGGAGTGTCTTTTTGATGGTACCCTTTGTGGGGTTGGTTTAAAGGGAAACCCAAAGCAACACCAACCATCTTTGGGGATCCCCGCCATCTGGGCGTTCCGAAGCGAGTCGCAACAACGGCCGAGGCATGGCCTGGCGTCCGCCGGCGTGGGGGCCGGGATTTGCTTAACAGGCGGGGCCCCGAGCTTCGCTCGATGGTGACGAGCTTCGCTCGATGGCGAGCGGTCGGGTCGAAAAGATGCGGCTCAAACATGGGAATCAGGCATTCCAAAACGGTGGACGCCTGGCAAATGGAAAGGTAGGAAACCTGCGTAACGCCGGCTTGTTGATTCTGAGCCACGCCCATGTCATTGGCCCAAAACACTGCTTCTTGGTCTGTATGTGACTCACAGGGCAGATTACAACCTACCAGTGAAGCTGAGCACGTTTTGCCTTTGGACAATTGGAGTCAGCCACAGTCACTCCCGAAGGGTTGAGTGTTCAGCGTGCACTGACTGTCGGACACGTTGCCACGCTTGTGATGGCTCTGAGCGCCATGAAAGTTCCCATGGAATGCCTTAGAGCACAGCTGAAAGGAAGCAAGGCGCAAGCCGGCGCGCTTCGCGTCCGCAAGGCATCTACATTCTTCAGTGTATCACCTTCATGCACAGATCCATAGTGCCAGCCTCGGAGCAGCCGCTTCAGCTGACTAAAAATGGCCACGCCGGCGAGAGCTAAACTCCCGAGGTGGGCTTTGTGGACCCCCTACTTCACGCCTTTGAGATGCTTGGCACGGGGCCCGAAAAGACGCACTGTGTGGGGAGACGCAGGGAGGTTTGCCGGCTAGGGGCATCCAGGGGCATCCAGGCACAATGTGGAGGCAACCCAAGGATCTCAGGATCGAGTAGCTTTCCGCGAAGTGAGGTGATACGTTTGGTGTTGTTGGCGTCAACATGCGATGTGTTGGCCTGTATCTTGCAATCTGTCTTTGCCCTCTGCCCCTCCGGTTGGCACTGGGCGGCTTGCTCTACACTCAGGCACTCTCATCTCACTCCTAGACGTGGGCGCACGGTGGGCATACGCTGGGCTCTCAGCTGTTTGCATGTCTTTCATGTTGTACAGCTGGACATCGAGGTCTGTATCGACATCCCTCACCCTTGCTAAGCGAGTCAATCGTGTGCTTAAATTGCCATTCGTGGATGCATCCACGATTCGACGCGCACTGATTTGCACTGGTTAGCATTGATTTGCACTGGTCCGCACTGGTGCGCACCGATTCGCACCAATTCGCACCGGTTCGCACCAACTCGCACCAGTTCGTGCTTGTTCGCACCGGTTCGTAACTTGTATCACGCATTGGCTGATTGATGTCTCATGAGTGCTCTTCTTTTGCGTTCTGCAAGAAACAGTCATGGTAGTTTCCCATGTGTGCACATTTCCCGCTTTGTTGACATGTGATTCGCCGGAAGGGAAAGGTTCCGTTCTTTTTTGGCAAGTGTTTCTTCACAACACTCGTGCAACATCAGCTTCTGCGCAAGCACATGTCTGGATTTTTTTTCAGCCCAAGTGCAGTTGGAACCACTCAGTCTTGCGCAAACCGCTGAAACCCGCGCAAGCCCGTGCAGACCAGTGCGAGTATAAACATCGCTTTCATGAAACTTGGTTGTTTCATGAGATGTGGTTGCTTGAAGGTTGGGCTCAAATCTTTTGCCTCAGCTAGATGATGTCTTTCCACCCATCCCTCCCTAGCCAAGGTGTTCTCGTCACGCCTCAGCGAAGCAATCTGAAGACCCTATCATAGCTGCGAACAATGCGCCAATGCTCTGAGAGGGCTTTGGGGTCACATGGTTCCATGAAATAGAGTGAGTGCCTTGCCTAGCCGAAGTGTTCTTTGAACACCTCGGCTAGGAGTACCTCCGAGGGTTGCCCCGGTCTAGCCGAGGAACAGGCTAAAGATGCCGGTTCTGATCCTTGAAGTTTCAGCTGGCTTTGGTTTTGTAACACGATGTTTAAATCAGTAGCAGTGCTGAGTCCGTATGGGTTTGTGCTGGTTGGCGCGGGTTCGCACAGGTTTGTGCGGGTAATTACTGTATAAGGGACTTTCGACTAGCTGAGTCGCTTCGTGAAGGGTAGTTGCACACGCTAGTCTCTAAGTAGCAAGAAAAACAGAAGGCATGCAATAATCCGAAACCCATGCCAACCCGCGCATGCCCGTGCAAACCCGCGCAAACCCGTGCGAACGCGCGCAAACCCGGGCAAAACCCGAGCAAACCTGTGCATACCCGCGCACACCTGTGCAAACCTGTGCCAACCTACGCAATTCCGCACAACACATATGCGCAAGCCGAGTTCGGACGCACTTCCCCCCAAGCTGTGAATTGCTGTATGCCCAGCTAGTAAGACAGGGCTATGCTGATTTACAGTTTGCACATCGTGCAAGCGCTGAGATGTGCTGCGATGGCTTCTGGCAGGCTGGGACTCGGAGCTGGTGTTCAAAGAGTGACCAACAGGAAGCGACCCCCAGGAAGGTGGACCCCCCCCCTCTTAAGGCCACAAATGAACTTAACAGCTGGCATGGCTATCGGCTAGAGCTTTCGTTCGGAACACAGCAAGCGCATTGATTATGAGGGCCTCGCCCTTGACTATTGCCTGTTGGGAGGTTCAACCTTTCCTGCTTGGCCAGTGCCTGGCCTTGCCAGTTGATGTTGCACAGCTTCAACGGGAACCTCTTCGCCCGGCAGCTAAGAGAGGATAGTAACGCCAAAGACGCTTCGGCTTGCACCAATGACGCGCGACATGACCAGGATGCCAAGACGCCCCACCGAAAATGGGCGGTGTCTCCATTTTGAGCGAAGGACAAGACATTTGAAGACCAGTTTGCACAGGTGGTGTCCGTCCTTCGCATGCCCTTCAATAGCCTGCATGTTGGTGTGTCGAGGCTGTTACCCGCCTACCACCGCTGCTGCTGCTACTCCAACTCCTCCAACTCCTACGCCTGCTCCTACTACTCCCACTCCCACTCTTACTCCTACTACTCCGCCTCCTCTACTCCTACTCCTACTCCTTCTGCTTTTGCTCCTACTGCAAACTCCTCCTACTCCTCCTGCTCCTGCTACTGCTACTATTCCTGCCACTACCACAAGTACTGCTGGCAGTGCTGCTGGTACTGCACCTAGAAAGTTTCTGCTGCTGCTGCTGCGACTTTTGCCCGACGCTCGATAGAGTTGAGCAGCCTCTCAACCCCAAACCAGTCGTGACCGTTCACCACGTGGGCAGATGCTCAGGTGGATTGCGTGGTCAGCACCTCTACCGTGGGCCTAGGCCGCCAGCTTTCGCAGGGCATGTTGATTTGGTTCGCAGACATGGGACAGACTGGCGCTGGTCGGCGTCAGGTATCGTGGCAGGTCCGCCAGGAGAAGGCAGGAAGCATGGGCTTGGGAGCCCTGTAGATCCACCCTGCCTAGCTGCGGATCCTTTGAAGCGACATTTGTGCCGACACCATGGAGCAAACGTCTTTTTCATGAGACATGTCGTATTCTTCTACTGAGTTTGGCAAGAGTTGGACGAGAGCTAACAAAGCCTTTGCCACGCAGAAAAGCGGACGTGGTGGTCTCTAGCGTTTCTTGCCAGCATCCATGTCTTCCGTCGGCAGCCCAGCGCACAATGTCTTTCAGGCAAATAACGTCTCCTCCACACGCCGCGTGTCGCATGGAGTTTTTTGAGGGAGAATCTCATTGTCTCATTGCGTGCGACTTTTTCTTTCTCATGGGGGGGGGGGCGCTTTTTCTTCGGCTTGGCTCAACACGCAGACTTTTGCCCGTGCAGTCGCCCGAGGTTGCCTCAAATGCCTCGCCCGGGCGGACACCGGAAAGGGCGACGGCAACTCCAAGAGGCGGTGCAGAGCCGCGTCGATGTACGCGAAACGCGCCCTTCCCACCCAGGAAAGGTTCTGGGAACCGTCTTAGGTATTCTCGGCTCGCGCCTTCTTTGGGTCCCGGTGTTCGTACCAATGACCACAAGGAGTGGGAGAGGCGTCAACTCCCAGACACGTATTCACCCAGTGGGGTGCTTGGTTTCTGTGGGACAGGCAGATCCTCTACGCGAGTGTCATGGTGTTCACCAGCGGGTTCCTGGCCCGTGTCTCTGATGCCGGCTTGCTAGACAGTGGAAAAAGTTGCAGAGCCCATTCCAAACCCAGGTCCACCAGGTAGTTGAAGGCAAAGGATGTACCATGTCAATGTGTGTTTGGCTCTCCTTAGAGAAAAATGGCGCAATGGGTGCAAGGCTAGGAAACAAGACTCGCGCCCAGTTTGCGGCCATCATCATGACGCTCGAGATCCTGGGTCCACGACCAGGCGCTAGGGTGAACCGACCAAGACGCCAGCAAGAAACGCCGCTGCAAATACGGCAAGCGACGGCTTGTTTTGAGGCTCGGATGCTGAGGATAAACTTCCAGGCCCAGCACTTTGACAATCATGAATTCGAATCGTTTGCTCAGGTCGAGTGAGTTATGCACTTCCTTATAATACTTCGTTCAAGCTTTCGGAGTTGCAATGGGTTGTTGCAGAGACAACAACTTGTCGAATTCCAGGTCCATATTTGATGTTGGTGTGGATAGTCTCTTGAGGCTCGGAGGTTCCCTGGACGATGTCAGACGGCCTGGCTGCTTCGCTGCATGGGATGATGAGAAAGGCTGTGCCCTCGCGCAACAAAAGAAGCACAGATTTGGGATGGCAGGGAACAAATTTGTGACCAGGCTTATGGGGTTTGTGTTTGGATGTCAGGGCAGAGGCACAGAGAGAGTCGCGCAACTGTCTGAAAGCAGGCTGCACTTGCACCACACAGAGCACAGCCAATGCGGTTGCGATCTGTTTGAAATCAACTTTCAGCCTTTCCAGCCGTTTTAGTGGCTTCAGCGGGTTCAGCCGCTCACGGAAATTACATGAGGGGGAACATGGCAGAAATGGCACACCAGCCGAAGCAATGCTAGCGGCAGTTTCTAGCAGGAATTGTTGAACGTGGCTGAAACTCTTCCGGGAGAGATCTGTTCTTTTTTCAGGCAGGCGAGGGGTGGTTTGAAAGTCAGTAGGATTCAGTGCGCGACCAACGATTGGCACACCTCACGTGCATCCTTGGCAACTGCACTGCCTTGTTCGATGTCTAACATATACGCCATGAGCCGAGGCCTGGTCCTTGTCGCTCTTCACCTTCTTGGGGAACAGCGCCAAAAGCCTCAGCCAGACCCATCTCTCTTGCTTTTGGACCATAACGCATGGACCCATAGAAAACAAGGTGTCTAAGAGACATGTGCCCCAGCCATCCGATATGTCCGGCAGCTTCAATCCCGAGGGCCGGATGCCCAGCAGCAACTTTGGCCAGGCGTCCGACCTTTCGCCGGGCTCTGGATGAATCAGCTTTTGCGGTTCATTTTGTCTTTGTCTTTGCTCCTGAACTTTGAGATGCGTGCGTTGCGCATGGCCATTGAGATTGAGAAGCTGAATGCCAGGTGGTGTGCCTGATCGGCCTGGGCATTGCCTCCTACCAGGTCGTGAGGCTGGTTGCCAGCGCCGCATGAGCAGCACATAGGTAACAGAAGCTCCTGCGGTTGTACTCACCAGAGTGTTGAACAACTTCGTCAGCAGTCTTGACGTTCTAGTGGGAGCTGAATCACACAGCCTCCCTGGAACCCGGGTGGGTTCTCCCTCACAACTTTTGAAAGGACCTTCGGGTGGGGCGGAGGTGTCACCGGCGAAGTTTGACTCCAGGATAACGCCCGTGGCCATCAGCGCAGTCACGGGCACCGGCAGCTTCGTTGGGCGGCTGGGACGGCATCAGATGCTTTGGGCCAAAGGCGCCATAGGTGTCCTTTTTGGTTGGTTTGGTTGAAAAATTGAGGGCCCTGGTTTACCTGGATTTTCCCAAAAGGACACCTATGGAAGGGGCCCTTCCGACGAAGGTTTCGATTTTTTGTGATTTGACCGAGCGAGGGAATCATTATACATGTGCACGCCCGAAGAGTGTGGAACTATGCAGAGGGTTTCCCGGAAGGGAGCTGTCAGGTTTGCGGAAGCGTTGTGAGTTCACATGAACCTTTGCATTCTTTTGTGCGGGATAGGCATCAAAAAACTTATTAGGGATCAACAAAAATATTAGGGATCAATTCAAAGCTTATTAGGGATCAACAAACAACTTCTTCTCATTCCTATGGGGGGAAGGAAGGAAGGAAGGAAGGAAGGAAGGAAGGAAGGAAGGAAGGAAGGAAGGAAGGAAGGAAGGAAGGAAGGAAGGAAGGAAGGAAGGAAGGAAGGAAGGAAGGAAGGAAGGAAGCGCCCCCCCCCAACCACCCCGCTGATTTGTAGAATGTTTACTGTTAATAACGCACCCTTTGCTGAATCATGCTGAATCATGACTTCTTCGATCATCATCACACTTTGTTGAATCACCACAACCCCCGCGCTGATTTTCAGAATGTTTACAGAGATTTCCGCACGCTTTGCTGAATCATCACTTCTTCGATCCTCATCCCCCTTTGTTGAATCATCACTTCTTCGAACATCATGGGAGGGGCCTGCCGCCCCTTCAACCCCGCTGCTGATTTGTAGAATGCTTACAGAGCTTAACGCACCCTTTGTTGAATCATCACTTCTCCGCCCCCCCCAGCCCCCCCGCTGATTTTCAGAATGTTTACAGAGCTTAACGCGCCCTTTGTTGAATCATCACTTCTTCGATCATCATCCCCCTTTGTTGAAACATCGCTTCTTCGAACATTCTTCGATCATCATCACCCTTTTTTGAAGCATAACTTCTTCGAACATCATGGCGGGGGGCCTGCCGCCCCTTCAACCCCGCTGCTGATTTGTAGAATGCTTACAGAGCTTAACGCACCCTTTGTTGAATCATCACTTCTCCGCCCCCCCCCCCAGCCCCCCCGCTGATTTTCAGAATGTTTACAGAGCTTAACGCGCCCTTTGTTGAATCATCACTTCTTCGATCATCATCCCCCTTTGTTGAAACATCGCTTCTTCGAACATTCTTCGATCATCATCACCCTTTTTTGAAGCATAACTTCTTCGAACATCATGGGGGGGGGGGCCTGCCGCCCCTTCAACCCCGCTGCTGATTTGTAGAATGCTTACAGAGCTTAACGCACCCTTTGTTGAATCATAACTTCTTCGAACATCATGGGGGGGGCGGCCCCCAACCCCCCGGCGAAAGTGCTGCGCCTGCCGCGAAACAATCGCACCTTGCGAAAGTGCTGCGCCTGCCGCGGTGCGAAAATGCTGCACCTGCCACGAACTTTGTACCTGACCTTGAGAAAGTATTTCGCCTGCCATGAAATCTGTACCTGACCTTGCGAAAGTGCTGCGCCTGCCGTGCAAATGTGCACCTGACCTTGCGAAAGTACTGTGCCTGCCACGAAGTCTGCACCTCACCTTGCGAAAGTGCTGCGCCTGCCGCGAAATCTATACCGTACCCTGCGCTAGGCGCGGAATCTGTACCTGACCTTGCGAAAGTGCTGCGCATGCCACGAAATGAAGAAGTTTTTTTTGATGCCTAACAAGTCTTTTTTCTGAGATTTCATTTTAATGGGAAAGTTGACCCCTAAAAAGTTTTTTTTGATCTTCAGGAATATGATTTTTGATGCATACAAAGCTTTTTTTGATCCCTCACCCCCTTTGCGCGCCGATACTCGCAGAAGCAAGATGTTAAGAGGTAGGTTGTGGAGGCAGTCGGAAGCAATGATGAAGCCATGTCGTACCGTCGAAGCAGCTCTGTTGCCCGCAAAAAGGGGCAGGACTAATATGGCGGCAAGGATGAATGGAATAGGCAAGGCCCAGCAAAAATGCTTTGGCCAACTTGCTTGTAGTTATTCATGTTCATGAGACCACCAGTGCTTTTGCTTGCTGAGTTTTTTGGTGGTGTGCCAAGATACGTTGGCCACCGCAAGCAGTGACTTGGCCGGCTGGATGTTTGAACTGCCCCATCTCCGCTTGAGGCGCTACCCCATCGAGAGCAGGCCCGGAGTATGATTAAGTGAGGTAGCACTCAATCCGATTCGTGTGATGGGTGTTCCCAATGCATGGTGCGGCTCTCCGCCCGGCAGACGACTTTGATTCCCTTTGGCGGTGACTCACATATCGCCTTGCGCCGGTCTGAGAGGCTGGGCAGACACCAGGAAGGTCACACCATCATCACTGGCAGCCCGCCTCGCTGGCAAGTTGGCATAGAGTCGTTGGCGGCGTTGGCGTTCTGCAATGCTAGGACGGCCAGGACGGTTATTGACTTCCTCTTTGAGGACAGCTTTAGTGCAGTCCTGGAGGTCATCGCAAGAACTTATGATTGCTGTCATCGCAAGAACTTATGATTGCTTCAGTGTTGCTGTGTCTACTTCCCGGTCATGCGTTTGTTCTTGAAGTTGTCAGCCCCGCTATGGAAGTTTGAGATTATTTGACTAGCATATCGAGTAGCGTATGGTCTATGTTGGAAGGACATGTGGGGACTCAATAATTTTCCTACAAATCTATTGATATTCCAGTGGCCTTGACAGGAACTGCATGTTTTGGACTTGTTCTAGCAAGCCTTTCGGTTCCCTCCATTCATTCGCCAAAGTGCCGCGATGTCCGACCTGATTAGGGGATATTCTCGGCATGTAATGTGAACCGGCCATGCACAGGGCCCTGCATTTGCTGGGTTCCGCTAGCTAGTTACAATGGGTGATTAGGCTATACTTCGAAGCCACCGCCAACATGAGTGCTGGTACTGCTCAAGGGAACAACCTAACAAATCGGCTGCCCGGGACTAAGTTTGTTCGCTTGTGACGGAATTTGGTGCTGCCAACAGGTGCGGTGCCCATGTCATGATCACGATGTCAGTTTGAGAGCAGCAAAGCGTCAAGTTTGATCATGCGTGCTTTGAGTGTCGTCAATATGGGTCTGCGTCAAAATGGGGTCATTTTGTGGGTTCCCCATTGTGGCTTCCCTTCCAAGCAACCCGAAAAAAGTGCACCCTCAAAAAACAAACACGCTCATATGGCCAATTTCGCGCAGTACTTCCACCCCAACCACTTTGCTGGCGGTCTAGACTTCGAACGCGAGGACGGGATGGGATGTTTGAGAGAGCGGGACCCGACTCGATTCCATGGTGCTCAGTTTGAAGCCCATGTGATCCTTGGAGCCTCAGTTGCCAGCACTGTCATGGAAACCCCTGAGGCTCAAGGGACAGTTTGCAACGGCTCGCAGGCGAAAGATGTGGTCGTCTTTCTTGATGATGAACGCATCCTTGCCCACCTGAGCAGGACGCGCGTGTGCTCAACCTGTGCTGAGAACGGACATTTGCAGTTGGACAGGCACACTCAGGAATGACCAAAATTGTTATGAGGTGTCTATGCCAGAGGACCGATATTGACATTCTTAGCTGAGGATAAAGCTGGCAGACAAACTCCTGTTTGTATGCAAGTTTCAGTTCATAACAGGCAGGGCAGACCTTCAACCTTTGCGAAGGTCTCCACGCTATTTGTAGTCAACAGTCGGGTTCGCAAAACGGATCTTTCATTTAACAAGACATGCTCAGCAGTCCCCCGATTTTCAAGGCCCATGCGGGACGCATTGCCGAAGCTCTCGCCGCGAAAGGATGCTGGACCTCAAAGATGCATCCATGCCAGCAGCCTTAGCGTGTAGGTATGCGAGTGCATGCGAATTGGTGCCAAGGAACACGTGAAAAAAGCAAACCAAGTTGAATAGAGTGCTTTGCGTGTCGGAGTCAAACTAGCTACCACCTGTGGTAGATACCGTGCGCAGCAATGTGTATCTTCACATGGCTCAACCCATTGCCGAAAGAGCCGGTCTGGTACTTGTGCCGAGGTTCCGAAGCAGAGTCTTCCTAATCAAGGGCACGGTACCTCTTGCAAGTTTGCAGCTCAAGTGCGACCGGGTACGAACCTAGATTGTTTGAATCGCTTTACAGCAGTCATCCCCAGGCCCTTGCATGTCATGCCAACCTGCAGACATATTGCGAATTAGTAGAACTCCGGCAATTTTTGAACTCTTGCCTCGGTCACGACTGGTGCTTCGACTCATTGGCAGACCTTTCAGCCCTACGACTGCCGCCGCGCCGGCACATCCTACGCGCACCGAGCCGTCGTCGGGAGACCAAGTCGAGCCGTCCGGGCCGGTTGGGAGGCTAAGCGCCGTCGCGAAAGTTGCTCGCCAAGTTCTGCGAGCAAGCGTTTTTTGACGGGTACTTCTTGAATAGCATCTCTTTTCTTTTCTTTGCAAACAAACAAACACATAAACAAACAATGCTTTACCATAGGATAGACTCAGCTCCGAAGTCTCCTCTACCCTTTTCTCCTGATGCCTCTCAACAGACCGAGATTGCGTGGTGTGTAGCAATGAATAGCCCAGGAGGAGTTGCCGGAACTCTGAGCTTGCGGGGTGTGGGATGTGCCCAATTCGTTGCTCTTTGCCTAGTGTATCTTTGTTTTGGCCGCTTTGCCTGTGGGCTGCGATGGGATTTGATAGAATCTAAACCACTGTGGACTTGGCATTCTGTCTGTTAGGTCTCAATCCGCTGGCCTTGAGTCAGATGCGCTCACGCGGGAAAACAAGGCATAGCGGCCTTTAGAGTTTCCACGCACAGTGGTGGCAGAGCCATGTTCACGATGCCTGGCCATGGGCCAGGCGCTACTTCGCCCAGACCGTCTTTCTGGACGTTCGCGGATGGTGCTGGCTCAGGGTCATCCGATCCTTGAGCTCAGCACCTGGCGGCCAGTTGAAGCGTCACCTGTGCCCTGCTGCGCCGGATCACCTGGACACTTGGCTTTTGGGACCGTTCCTCTCGCGCAGGCCCCCGGTGGCTTCCTTGGCCATGGAGCCCAACCATTTGCAGGTTGCCTGGACAGCTATGAACTTGGGTGCGAGCCAGGACTTTGCCAAGACTAGGTCTACTTCATCGCGCATGAGTCCTTGGCAGAATGGCAAGATAGAAAGGGTTGGAGGTGTGTTCAAGGAGAAGCTCAGTCTTCTGCCAAAACGAGATTGCCGCCAACTCGGAGGAAGAGCCCAATCCGTGTGGGAAACCCAGATCGCACGGAGCTGCTTTACGTGAACAAAAGTGGGTTTCCCACACCAATGGGTATGTGGCTACACCACGAGATAACCTGCCACTAGCTTCAGACGACGCCCTAAGTCCAGCGCCGGTGCGCGAAAGTGCCACGGAGTCCATGCATGAGATGCTTCGGAATGGTGAAGAAGGCGACTCTCTGGCGCGACACCGAGAGGTGCGGGATGGAGTGGCCCGGGAGTCATCATCTCCGAGACCGCCAAGGGTACGTCCCTGTGGATCAGCCTTTGGAATCGCGTCACCCAAGCTTCGCGAGAACAAGTTTGAAACGCTACGTCAGAAGAGAACCTTGGAGCCGAACTAGCTCTCCAAAGAAGTGGTTAACGACACACCAACCAGGGCAAGATCAGGCACTATCATGACGTTGAGCTGGAGAGTGGCCCGGACAGGAATAACAATGGCCGGCGAGAGCATCAAGCGCCGCTGCACCTCAAGAAACGCAACGGGACGAAGCGGAGTGCACGCCTGAGCTCGTGGATGCCGGAGGCGGGGATGGGTGAGAACGCTCAGCCTGCTTTCAGAACTACGCCGTACCCGTTGTCTTCAGCGTCGCCTATTCCCTGGTCAGCGTGTGAAGATGTTCTTCTTTGCGAGGTGAACTCATTCTGTCTCGGAAGAATCCTGCAAGTTCCGCCAGGGCTGAAGGCATCTTAGGTCTTGCTACGTGGACAGATGGCAGCCATCTGCCTTGTTTGCGGCGGAGTTTGACCTGCCGGCCAATCGTGAGGGCCTCTCTGCGAAGTCTCGCTGGTGCGTGGTGGGATGGCAAGATCCCACGATCCACCCACGCTCGAACGCCCCTGACCTGGAGCATGCGCTTGCCAGAGCGAAAGGCGCGAAGACCATGCCAACGCTCGACGCAGAAGTCTACGGGCTAGTCGGTGGACCTGCGTAGTGGAGACGCAACCCCCTCGAAATAGTCGTGAACAGCGCGGGAGTCGCACCAATTGCTTTGACTGCTGCATTTTGACCCTGGACGCAGAAAGCCAAGAGCAGGACGCGCCCGCGCAGGCCGCAGGGGATCGTCAGCGCCGGATGTTTCCCTTCAGCGTCACGACGCAGGAGTACACCCAAAGCCGCTTGAAGCTGGCCAAGGATAAGGATAAGGGACCTTGACTAGCGCCAGACGCGTCTGCAGCGGCCAGCATCTTGGCCCAACAGATGCCACGAAGGCCAACCGTGTCATGGCCAAGACCAAGGGCCGCAACTTCCAGCTCAAGATCCGTGGTTGCGGCGCTTCTGCTCGCCGACAGCTCCCCAAGTGGCACAGGCGAGCCACAGCACGGGCGGCTACAAGCCACCACCGCCGGCCTCAGCAAGGCCGCCCCGGTGTCCTTGGATCTTCGCAGAAAGGCAACCGACGAACCTGTGCAAGGCCATCAGCGTTTCCACAGCATTGGGAGCCAAGCAGGTGGCGATGATGGAGTCACTTAGGTTCTCCCGGCGCAGCCCAAGGCATCAGTTGGAGATTGAGGACCCACGCTTCAGGACCCGAACATGATCGCAGTCACCGATGCTGCGACTCGAACGAGCAAGCGCAGTTGCGCGGATCAAGCAAAGTGAGGGGCCGCATGAGTTGGGTTCCTGGGTTCCTCATAATGAGAATCCAGCAAACATGGAGCGCTTGGGGTAGGAGGCAGAAGTCCTTGTCCAAGGATGGCAGGGGCTTCACCGTAGGAAGACTACATGCAAGTCTGCTTTGATATTGGGGGCTGATAGCATGTAAGCCGCTGTGGACTTGGCATGTTTTCTGTTAGGCTTCAACCCACAGGCCTTGAGTCAGATGCACTCACGCAGAAAAACAAGGCATTAGCGGCCTTAGAGTGTCCACACAGATTCCAGTGCCTGCATTGCGTGGCAATGCAGAAGTCCTATGTGCCAACCTTGTCCTCTTGTCAATTGCACGTGTGCAGCTTTCTGTCCATCAGGCATCCCTTGATTTGTGGTTTGGATTGGTGGGACATGAGCCCCAGCGTCATGGGTTTTGGGGAAATCGCCCCGGAACACCGCCAAGCCAGGCTTCAAACCACCAATGTGCCTTTTTTGCGAGGGGCCCCCTTTTCTTGGCTTGAAATGAAAACCAAAAGGACGGCCACCTGAAAAAGACGAGCCGCCCAACAAGGGAAGCTGAGTCGTTCCTTTCAGCGTCCGAGATCCTTCCGAACCTCCAGACCTGCGACGTAGACAGAGATGACCAGACCAACATCATGCGCCGCTCAGCTCAGATCGGAAAATCGAACAAGGGGTGAACCTGTCCAAGAAATACGGGTGGCTCTTTTTGTGTTCTGGGAATCGGGCCCCCGCAAACTGGCGAGGTTTTCCTGGTTTCCCTTCAAACCCACCAAAAGACAAGGACCCTCAAAAAACCCCATATGGCAATGAATGCAAATAGGGAACCTTTGCAGATGAATCCTAAAGGGTTTCGAGTTAAAATGTCTCATGGAACTCGGACCCTTGAGTTTATTTGCAGCCGTTTTCTGACCAGACTGCCGCTCCTTAAGGCACCTACGCCATTTGCGCGGCTGGGCCAAATGTAAAAGCCACTTGTCCGCGCCTTGGGGCCGAGATCTGCGCGCAGTTCCCTGGAACCGAACGAGTTCTCGGCGTGGCTCGTTTTTTCGCGGGGGGCCAAAGCCTTTCAAAGGGGTGTCCTGTTTCATTGCTGGACACCGTTGGCCGTTTGTTTTGGGACCAATTCCTAAATGAAGGACACGTTGGTCCAAAGTTGGTCCTTCAAGACCTTTTCTGGGGGTTGTTTGAGCATCAAGAACTAACTCGAAAGCCACGGACACCTATTCGGTTTTTCGATCACCGAATGGCGCCATGGCGCCATGGAACAAACTCGAGGCTTACTTCACAGCGCACAGCCGGCGCCTCAAGTGGGAGGCAGATGGGTGCAGGAAATAACGGCTTTGTGGTTGTTTTTGGCTGCAGCAATATGAATGTGTGGTGCAATCTCCAATCTTTTGGAGATACCTTCCCCCCCCCCCCAAAAAAAAAGAAGATTTCGGTTGTAAGAATTGGGTTTCTCTTTAAAAGCAAGCAACAGGGGGGGAACGAGCCTCAACAAAAAGACATGGTGTTTTGACGCGCTCTTCCCAGTCGGGCGAGATCTCTGGCATGGGCCCAGGCATCAGGGCTCCGTGCTTTCGGGCTCCACCCCCAACAGCTACTTCGTGAGCTGCACGCCCAGTCCCAGTGAGGTCAGAGGTCAGAGGTCAGAGGTCAGAGGTTGGAGCCAAGCTTCAGGCGTGGATGCCATCAAGATGGGGCTCATGGGAAAGGCAGGGCGGAGCGACACCAGCGACACCTTGAACTGCATGATATTCCGAGTGGTTTAACCATGTTTCAGATTGGTCTTCTTGCAAAGCTGCCTCCTGTCAACAAAACGGATGTTGTCGTGTCCGAATCGCTTGGCGCGTTTCGGCCAGACTTAGGCTTGCATGTTCCCGGGCGCCATCACGATGATTTGCAATCTCTGCACCTCTGTGGGCCTGGCGCCCCATCTCGCATCGGAAATCTTGGCCCCCGACTCCAACCCTCGCAGAGCGGCTTTCCTTGACTCAAGCCGTGCTGTCCTTATTCCTTGATTGAATGATTTGGTGATTGGGTGACGGGGTCATTCATTGGTTTGATTTGACTGAAGCTGGGCCACCTACCCCCTGGGTCTGACCAAGACGCATGGTTGCAGCCAGTCAACTGTCAGGACACACATAGCACTCAAGCCGCCGCAAGGTGAGGGGACCGACATGTACAGCGTTCGGCGGCACTGGCTTAGTGGACCCTGCCATGTTTCTTATTGCCATTGCAAGCGCCAGTTTTACCGGAATCACAATGAGTCGCATTCCTGTTGACCATCATTTTGGTCTGACGCAATCAAAGCAGTGCTGGAAGCAGGTAAGCAGATCTACAAGTTAGGATCGGTGGTCTGACGCAAAGTTCGGGTCGCTTGTGTCCTCCAATTCACGCTTCAGCTGACTACGAGAGCGGTCTCGACATGGAGCTCTACGAGGCGACTCGCAGCGTGAATCCGAGTTGTCGTCTTCCCTTGGTTGCAACATATATGAATCCGAGTTGTCGTCTTCCCTTGGTTGCAACATATATCATTATATGACGATAATTATTATCATTGTCACTAGTATTATTACTATCATCATTGTTACTCCTATTGTTGTTAAATAGTTGCGTCTTGTATGTCGATTTATTATTGTCACCAATTGTTATCTTATTATTGTAATTACTGTTACAGTGACTACTAAAATTACTATATTGTTATGCATCATTTGTTTTTTTTTGAATATTATCGTTTCCAATCAAGTTATATACTTATTTGTTGTTTGTTTGACTTACTTGCTTATTTACTTATTTATTTGTTTATGACTTCTTCTTATTATCATAATCGTTTTCAGACCGGCAGTTGCCTTGAAGCCACAGCCCTCGAGCGTCCTTCTCCGTTATTCGATAGCTGCAGCACCTCGAGCGGCGGCCATGAAGTTCCGTCCGGGAATGAGCTTCTCTTTGGAGTTTCTCCGATGGTGTGGGAAGGGTGAACATCCCACCTTTTGATGTAGGGAAACCGGTGGACCGATTGGGGCAAGATCTGGCAAGATCTGGCAAGATGAAACATCCGTAGATGTCTGAGTTCATGAAGGCCTAGCAAGGCAAGTCTCCGGAGGTGCCGCTCTCCATGGGATACACGGGCTATACATTCCTCGATGCCTTCGAGGACGGGCACAGATGTTCGGAAGGTCAGCGGCAGGTCAGCAGCAGGTCAGCGGCCGGTGTTTTTTCTTTTTCATTTTGGGTGTGGAAGTTTGATTTTTCATCGATGCGTCAGGACGTGGTGGCCAGATCCAAGGGCAGCGTCATGATCATCGGTGCGCCTCACAGCTCCGAAGCTTCGGCTTCGTCTCGCGACACGCGAAGTCTGGGAGGCGCTTTTTTTTGTGGTAAGGCACCCCCGCCAACAATGGGCGGTCCTTTTGGTTTCCCTTCACCACCAAACATGACCATCAAAAAAACAACAACACAGACCGGTGCGCAGCCAACAGATGCCGTGCGAAAGGCCAAACATGGCGCATGCTGTCGTGCCGAGGCATCACGGATATTGGGCGCCTGAACTCACAGCGTGGAAGGAAGGAAGGCAAGCCTCTTAGAGCTTTCAAGGAAGGAGACTCACTTTGTAGACATAGAAGTGAGCCCTGGCTTGGCTCAGGTGAGCGAGAAATCCTCATCAACCCAGGCATGCGGGTCCCGAGACCGGAGCTTTGCTTGTCCTTTGGCTCATGGGTCATGCGCATCGGGCCCTGACCGCGTTGGTCAGGCCCGGACTATGAGCTGAAAGTGGTGGAAGGCCGCACTGCAGGGGCCCGGGCCTCGGTGTCCCTTTGGTCCAGTTCGAGGGAGACAATTGGAGGCGTCCCTTTTGGCCTCAAACTAATCCAGTCCAAGCCGATGTCCAACCTTTGAACATGGGGATTTTTCTCGGAGCTCGATCCATCTGGCCGGTTTCCTTTCAAGCCACCAAAAGGGGCAAAGGGGAGTCAGGGAGTCAAAAGGAAGCCAGAATTCCCATTGAGCAGGGGACTTAGGTCTTCATCGCATCTGAGCTGGAGTCCATCAAGCAGGTCTCACCTGGGGAGGAGCCCAAGATCACGCAGCTCGGCTCGGACTGCACGGCATTGGCCGGTCAATGCCGGGAGTTTGGAGGGGCGCTTTCCAGGGAACGCTAACTGCCCCAGTGTTTGCTCCGCTAGAGCTTGCCAATGAAGGATCACGGTGAGCGCGAGTAATTGGCAATATCTGCGGTAGTCACAGTTGAGTTGGGAGGACATGGGAGCTGCGGGCCGGATGCGGGATGTGCCTCTGCACCGCTCGCATTTGGTTTATCGAGCGAGTGAGGCGTGCGAAGATGCCCAAGAAGTTGCCCATCTTTGAGAAGACCATGCAGAAGGCCTTAAGCCTGCAACATGTCTGGGTGTGGTGCCTTTGTCGAGGGTATCCCTTTTTTAGGAACCCAAAAAGCAAAAGCCACCCTAAAAACAGACACCCTCTAAAGTTGAACCTCCCAGGAAGAAAACACATTTGTTGAATGACAACTGCAAAAAACGGCCGGATCACAGCTGGGTTTTGACTGAAACGATGGCGTGGCAAATGTTGCGCCGTCAACGGATGGCAGCCATTTCACGAGGATTCCAATATCCATCTGAGGGATCTCTCAGAGCACCACGGAGAGAGGGAGGGAGCGAGGGAACTCCTTGAGACATCGTATCTGAGAGTTTTGCTTGAATCTTCGTTCACTTGATCCTCGTTGGCCGCTTGGTGCTCAATGGGGATCAGAGTAAAGCCGAGACAAATTTTTAGGGCTTTGATGGAACTGACTCAACAAAGGCTGGCAAAAGGAAGCCAACATCAAAGCCATTTGCGTGCTGACCGCCGAGCAGATTGGTTTTCTCGTGGTTTCCTTTGACATTCGCGGGGCTCATTTCCAATACCCGTCAGGCAGTGGCCGGGCCTGGGCCTCGGTTGGTTCAGCGTGAGTCTGGAGACGAAGTCTGGTCCAAGGGTCCATGGCTGTTGTTACTGTTGTTGGATGGGAATGGAAGAGTCAACGGCAGAGCAAGAGTACCTGCGGCAGCTCCGAAATTTGCTGTAGGAAGAAGAGGACCAAGGATGATTCTTTGAGGCCTGTGGAGTTGTTGAATGATAGCAAGCGCCTGGCTATTTGCATTGCTTGTTTACACTTTGGCATGCCAGGCAGTATTAGAGCCTAAGCACCGAGTAACTCTAGAGTGGGCTTTAGAAGCAAACAAGCCTGCGAAGGCAGCTTGCAGATACCACGCTGGGGCCTCAGTGCTGTGTGCCATCCACAGTCTGGACGCAAGAGGGCATGTCACCAGAGGCAAGCAATACGAATTCCGTTAAAGCTCATAGCCAGTTGCCAATTTTACTTCTCGCGCGAACTGCGAGTGCGACCTATGGGTGGGTGCTTGGACCATGCTGCTTCTTTTGTGAGCAACGTGTCGAACCGCCAGCTGAATAAAGGGAAGTCGCTTGGCGGGGCTTGCCTGCACCAAGCGTGTCCCCAGCAATACGGCTAGTTGGGAACAACATGGAGTCGTCGCAAAGGTCCTTGTGTTGAGATACAAAAGGAAAACAACCATTTTTGAGGTACCACCAAAAACAGACAAACCCACATTAGGGGGAAGATCGCAAAGCTTTGAAATGGAGGCCATGAAGTTGCTTCCGCAAATGTTTTATGTCAGGGTTGTTTACCGTCCTTGCCGGCAGTGCTCATCACATCAGTGCGAGTATGCACACAGCCGAAAGTTGGATGGAGCAAAGCACGCTTGTTGGAGTTTTTAAGCTATCGGATCCAATTGAGCGCAACTTCGCCGGATGTCAGGTATTTAATGTTTTGCGCATCCGCGCAAGATCCCGTGAAAGCCGATGGATGAAGCTTGAGTTGGCCAGTTGGGCAAAGGGGGCCCTCCTTTGCTTCAAAGTTCTGCGGAGTGCTTTGTGTACCACTCTGACATTGAATGAACATAGCCCTCCCAATACAAAAAGGGTTTTGAGTCGGGGTTTTCCGTTGGAGAGCCCGGGGTCTGGCTTGGGGTCATGATCCAAGGGGGCGAACAATGTCGGTGGGAAGACCAGAAGGCTTCACCCCCCCCAACCTCGTTTCTGTGACATCGTGCGTTTTGTGCAAAATAATTTGGCCCAGAACTTGCAACCGCAGATCTGGATGTGTTGCCTGCAACGCTGGAGCTGCTTCCACACAAGGGGCATTTTAGTAGGCGTCGCGTTTGGTGAATAAGGGTTTCATCAGAGGCGAGCTGTTGGTGACCAGCCCAAAGCAACTTGCGCGCTGGGAGCGATGTTCTGAGGCAGTCCGGCAACGCCAGCCCCGACGCGAAGGCACAGCTCACAAGCCCGGAGCATTGAAGTCCAAGGAGCACGCAAGATGAACGTTGCGCATTCTTTGATTGCTAGTGTACCAAGAGAGCGAGAGAGAGAGAGAGAGATAGAGAGGAAAGAATAGAGAGAGAGAGAGGGGCACTTTACCGGCTGAGAGCTAGATCCTCCGGAGAAGTGCCTCAGCTTTGCTTGCAAAGGCCACTCTCGGTAGCCATCTCTGTCCATCAATCCTGCCAGATCACTGATGAGAAGGGTACGCTGGAACAGGCAAGAGAGATGAAAGTGGCAGCCTCGGCCTACCGACCTCAGACAGGACCCACACGCCCAAGGGACCCAAGGAAAACAGAGCTGTTTGGTTGTCCGTGTCTTTTGTTGAGGGTACCATTGTTTTGTGGTTTTACAGAAGCAAACACCCACACGCACACAAACACACAATGAGCATTTTGACTCAAGTTCAGGCTCATGCCTCACGGAAAGTCACAGTCACGCTAAGAAAGACATTGACATGCAGTATGAGCACATTATGCTGATGCTCAAGAAGAAGCCTTGGCCCCAGGATGCAACTGATTTTTTCAGATCCCCTGACAAAGCCCCCGGCCACCGGCCTTTGTTTTTGCTTGTCCTGACCAGAGTTGTCAGGTTCCCAGGTCATCACTAAGGGAGCCGGAATTCCCCAGTTGGATGTCTTTTTGTTCAGGAACCCCCTTTTTCCAGCACAAACCCAAAGGAGGAAACACAGAAAGCCCTCAATTTTGAGGGGTCCCCCAAAAAAAGGACACACCCAGTGGCCTAATCGGAAACCGTCCTGACCAGTGCTCCCCATGGTCCCGAGGTTTCTGGAGCCCGGGTCTTAGGCGAAGTGTGGATCCCGGGTCCTGAAGCCTGCAGCCTGTTGGAGGACCCCTGCAGGTAACTCAATCGGAAAGCCAAAATCCACTGGGAGACCCATCTTGACCCCAAAAAAGAAGGACCCATCTCCATGACCCAAAAGGAGCCCCAAAGTGTCCTACCAGCCTCGAGCTCGAGGCAGGGGTTGCCTCCGGATTTGGTGGGTGGTGCCACGCACACGCCCGCCTTTCAGCGCAGAGTCAGCCCGGCAGTGGTTGGGAAACGTCCGGACGTGGCTCGGCGGTTGCGCAAAGATGAGCATTCACAGAATGTTTTTTTTTTTTTTTTTTTTTTTTTTTCCAAATTATCATTCTACCGTATACCATATTTTTGGAGGAGGACCCAGGAAACCAAACAAAGCAGAGAGCACAGGCATATTTCTTGGTTCAACAGGCGGTTGAACCGGATCTCGAAAAGGGGCGAGTTTGATGCGCGTGGCACCTTGGCCAGTTTGCCCGGAGCACCCTGTCGCAAGTCAGAGAGGAGGATTCTGGATCCGAGGATGAGGCCGGAAGTCCGATTTTGAGGGTGATGGACCTTGGATGCCTGCAGGATGACAAGAGCTGGGTGCAGAAGGCGGGAAATCCCGAGTCGTGTCTGAATCCTTGTCAAAGCTGATTTTATTTTTATTTTATTTTTTTCCGGATGAGAGCCGCTTGTCCCCTTTGAGGGCATTGATTGCATGCGCGTTCATGATCCGCTCGGTGCATGTGCATGGCAGATAGCCGGGGAAGCTATCGACAAGTATGAGAAGAAAAAGCAGGAGCAAGTCGGTAAGCGAATGCTTTGCCTTGGCCCACCTTTCCTTTGTAGGCTTTTCTAGCGCAAAAGCCATGCTTTGTGCTGATTGAATCTGTGCTTGTCGCACTGCACCCCCAAACAACTGATTTTTTCCATGTCGACATACTCAAAAACGTCCGCTTCAGTCACCACATCCGAGCACGAATCCGCATCCATGTAATGCGGTAGTAGCCGGCAAAGCGTGAGTGCCAACACTGATACCATCCTGGCCGCAGTCCACCTTGGGCACAGCCAAGGAAACCGATAGCCTCCAATGCGGTGATTGCATTGAAAGCAGCCATCTTTCGCGCGGGGGAGCAACCGGCTTGCCTTGAACCCGCCGTACGGTGCGTGAAGCACGATGGCCACCTGACACATCCATTCCGCCGCCACGTGGCGTGGCACCACGCTCGCTGCGCGCATAAACGCGGCTGGGTTAACACACGCAGACGTGCCGGGCTCGGCGATGCTCTCAGATGACGCACCATCCATCATCGCACTGGCGAAGGCTCGCGTATCGCCACATCGAACGAATTGCAAGATCTTCCACCCCGCGCACGTTGTGAAGCAGAAATCGGAGTCGTCATCCAGCAGTCCCTGACAAGCGTCTTGCAGCACGGGATGTGCCGAGGCCCACTCTCTGATCGCCTTCAGGAACGCTCAACCGAACCGACTTTGCCGAGAAGTGGCTCATCGCGGACATGGCACAGGCATCCGCCATGAACCTGCGCCCTCCTGGCGCCAGCAACAGAAGGTTGAGACTCGTGAATGCAAATCGCAACCTTCTCCAATTCTGATTGTCAATGCTCGTCACTGGGGAGTTGCTTCCGTGCTCGTGGCGCTTCAGGAGCTGGAACATGTTGTTATTCCCTACATAAGGGAGCCAACACTGCTGGAAGACCTCCGGCTTGCTAAGATACCAGAAGGATCCCAGGCACTGTCCAAGAAGCAGTTGTTGGGGTGTGTGTGGCGTTGATTTCTGTGTCCGTTTTTCCCTTTTCCTTGTTCCAAGCGCTCTGCCTGGAGTCCCATTCGAAGCCTCCGGCCACTGGGGGGTCGCTTTCTCAGGAGCTCGAGAAGCTGGAAGCCCTGCTGGAACGCCGGGCGCCCACATTTGTGGCGGATCCTGTAGTCTTGACCCATTTGCCATGCAACGCTTTTTCGGAGTGCTGTCATAACCCCGTGGTCAGTCAATCGAATGAGCGCCGTCGAGCCGATGTGAATTTGGGGACTTGAGACGAGTGCGTTCCATTCGAGTGGCTTGGGGACTCCGATCTCTCAGCTAGGCTGCCGTCGGGATGCCATGGGAGAGCTTGGGGCCCAGCTCCGGCTGTGGCTCCGCACCAAGAGCGGCCCGGAAAATCGTGGGTCTTAGGGGCCCAGCCAAGGTGCTTTTTCCGGGTGGCTTTGATTTTCCGACCAACAAGGGGTGCCCTTCAAGAACACGCCATTCGGGTGTGTTCCACCGAAAATCGGAGATGGCCGCTTCAGGGCCAGCAAGCACCCCTTGAACAGTCACTGAAAGAACGCAACATTGACCTTATGTCGACCTTGAGGCGGAAACTGCCAAAAGCGCTGATCAATAGCGGAGGACTAACATGCTGATGCCATGGATACACTACCAGTCTTTTTTTTTTAATCTTTTTTTTTTTTTTAACGGGGCGAGACTTTCTGTGGCACGAGGAGTTGACATGCTTTGTTTGGCTTCTAGAGGGCATTCCTTGAAGTAGCTGACATCTTGGGAGACTTGTTCGCTGCTCTTTCAGTCGGTCTGAGACTGCTATGAATTCAGGATATTGCATCAGCACTGCTTTGACCTTTGATTCTTCAAGCGGCACCGCTTTCGTAGGACACGTGCTGGTCCTTTTGGTGGGCGCTCCCTCCTCAGTTGGGCACGTTTGGCCGACGGCCTGGGTCGGAACGAAGCTGACACGTCAATGTGAGCTGCGCGGAATTTCTCCAAGAGAACTGCGTGACGCATGGTTCGGTCGCTTCCAAATGAGACGCATGCTGGATGTATGTTTTTTTCCCCCAACACATGGGGTCGCCTCAAAAAACGGAGCGCCCATGAGCTGCAGGACACAGAAGTCAGCAGCGTCTCGGTTGGCAGCTCCAAGCTGCTCGGGCCTCGGGTGGCCTCCGGTGGCCTCTTCGGTGCTTGGCGCGCCAGGATCGGGGCCCCGGTGGGCATCGACAACTTCATGAAGGCGGCTGCATGCCGCGGGACTTTTTGAGGAAGTTTGAAGCCCGTCTTTGGGGTGGCGTTTTGGGGTGCAAACCAAAAGGAAAACCGAAATCTGTTGTGGAGGGGTTCAAAATCCTAAAAGCCAAATGGGCGCAGGCGCTGCGTGACGACCGCTTGGAGTTGAACCAGGTGGATGGACATGTGAGAGAGATGGGTTCGTTCATGCTAACTTGGAACCTCTTCCCTTGATTTACATGGCATCCAAAAGCATCTTCTTCCAAAAATCAACAGTTGTGAGGGGTTCCATGTGATTGCGTAGAGAGTGGTTTTGGTTGGCTCCCAATCCCATGTTGGATGGTCATAGTTCTATAGCTGCAAGAAAGCTCTGGGTTGTTGTTTGTGAAAAGTCCGGGACTTGGCAAGCTGGTGAATCTCGATCATTTTACCTTTTGTGATACGATTGCAACCCCGGTCATTTCGAAGAGCTTGATTGATCGAGCCAAGGGCAGCCAGCCCACCGTGCTGTTCCTGGGGGAGCTGCAGCAAGAAGCCAAGAAGCCCTGAAGCAGCTGCTCAAAGCGGAGCAAAGGTGTCGTTGGGTTTTACAGTCCAAGCTGCGATATCTTTCAGCGGAAGTGAAGTGCTTTAGAAGATACACAGACCTGCTTGAACAGAGGAAGCCGCAGACAGGTACAATAGGAAGCCCTCACGCCATCAAGGGCAATTCCAGTCATGAACGGTTAAAGATTGGTCTTTCAATCAAGCACGAAGCAGAAAGAGAAGGGCTTCGGCCGGTCAGGGTCAGCTTCCAATCCTCTCAATTTTGTGCCCAGGCCCTCTGACTGGCACAAGATTTGCCATTTGGAACGCGCAGTGTGCCTAGCACTGGTCGCGCTTTTCCCTTTCACTTCAGTGCTGGGCAAGTTGCAGTTTCGATATTGTGTGCACGACTCAAGCCGGGACCACACACCACCGATGCTGCTGCAGCCTCTAAGATAGACGCTTCATGAGCATTCAAGGCCAACCCCGAGGGCAGTGCAGGTGAAATTTGTCCGGCCCACGCACGAGGTTCCCATGCCAAACTCTTTCGCATGAGGTCTTCTACTTGGCGGGGTCCCCTTTGCGTGCGGATCTCGGTTGGTATGCTTTGAGCAGTATGTCACAATGTGATGCCGAGGAACAGAAGACTTGTACAGGGCTGGCATTAAGACGTGCTCTGCCGTGGTCGTTGCCCGGCACCCCAGTTTTCCATGGGTATTTCGCAGCAGAATCGAGCGCAATGGTCAGTGCTGCACTCAGAAATCTCAAAGTGGCAGAAGTTTTCTTTGGGAACTGGAGCGTTGCTACGTTGCTTTTCAGGCTCGGATGCACAGCGGGGTCGTGGGGCAGAAGGCCGAGCAAATCCTGAGACTTCTGAAAGTCTGAGCTGAAAAAGAACATCGCTTGCAGGTCATGAAGATTGCAGATGCACGGGTGGTGCTGGCAGCAGTTCGGCCCTGAGCTGCAGGTCATTTGTATGTTTATGCCAGCCCTTGGGCCTTTCTCAAAATGATGGACCTCATCCTGGTGTGTTGCTCCTGTTGGTTTCCCTTCCAAAGCTCCAAACCTGCTGTTCCTGTTTCCCAAACCTATCCCAAGCGGGGCGCCAGTTGGAGAACCTCCCTGAAGCCTGGGATCCCGTGCGTGCCCAGACCATGGCGGCCTACAGCCTGCCCTCCGACAAGGTTCTTCCAATCGCGGCCGCCTCGGCCGTCTCAGGGAGCAACCGACGTGTTTCCGCTTGTTTGGATGTGGGGAAACCTCCATCTTCGCTTTGGTTTAATGGGAAACCAAGAAGGAAAGCACTGTCTTGGGTTCCCCCCCTCCTCATTTTCGGGGTTCCCACCAAAGAAAGATATTTAGTGAGTTGAGTTCCTGGAGTGGACACGCTTTGCTCACCATCTTTCCTTCTATTGACTGCAGAGTCCTTGATTCTGCATTTGCTGCTACTCTAGTTTCTATTCCTGAGGTGACAGATCATGCTTATGCCGGCAGCTGCCCAATTCCCAGAGCCTTTTTGCAAGATCAATGAGACGCAGGGTGCGTGTGGGCTTATCCTCGCAGATCAGTAAGGACCAGGTCTTAACCTGTCAAGTTGGACAGGTCTTGACGCAGTCGCATTGATCCCTGCAACTCTTCGGTGCCTTAATTTTCAGTTTGCTGTTGTCAGAGCCGCTGATGAGTCAGCCTGTGAGCCCGGGGAGCTGTCTATCTCTCTGTCTCTCTCTCTCTCTATCTCTCTGTCTCTCGCTCGCAATCTCTCTTCCGCCTTTCCTACTGGGTTCAATCAAAGGAAAGTACCCGGGGCTTCACAAATCGGTAAATTAGCTTTGGGATTTGAGAGTGTCACTTCAGCTTCTCGTCCAAAGCTGCGCTTAGGTGACCTACTTCCACCAGAGCGCGTGTTCATCGAGGCGCAGCATGGCTCATGCGTTTTGCGCACGGAAGTCAGCGAGTTTCTTGGTCCACCCGAAGGGTGCACTGATCTGAGTAGAAGATTTGCACAAGCTGCAGACCTCTTTCATGTGGAGCCGGTGGTTTGGTTTCCTTTCGGTTTGCCTTTCCATCCTTTGAAAGGGTTCCCTGTTTGGATTCAGCCCCAAAAGTGGCCGGAACCTTTCTCGGTGTGTCAGGAGGGACCGCCGGTGAACACCTCCATGGTGGGTCGCGGCCGAAGGGGGTTGGCCGAGATACGAGACATCTGCACCTTTTTTGTCATTTCGATTCAGCATTGTTGATTAGGCTTGGCCATTGGCCAATTCAGTTTGAGCAGCCCAGCCAAACGGTGATGTGGTTTTTGAGCGAATCCCCTGCCACTCGCACCACATTGCCACTTTGATGCCTGAAGCTGCACCATTGGAGCAGTGTTGGACCAAAGCCCGGAGGCAGTGCAAGCACGGCGTGTCGACTATCCCCAATTGGATGCCCTCTCACTCCGTCAGTCCAATTCGGAACCTGATCGAACATTTTGGGGTTGCCTATGGAACAGTTCCCGTGCGACCCGGTCGAGGCCCACCGCCCCTCCTTCCGCAAGCGCTGACGGCTTTGCTGGGAGGTGCCAAGGCCAGGACGCGGGACTAAGGGAAATGGCAGAAGCCCACCTGCCACGAAGGCAGCCGAAGGCATTTGACCTCAAGGGCCGCATTCTTGTTTTGCGATCTCGCATTTGTTTGGCTTTCGCACGGACCGAGCCGGAGGGCAAAAGGGTGGGAGCCGAGAGCGTGTGCCAAACATGTCAGGACTTGTATGATATACATATATATATATATAGAATACATACATATATATAGCATGCATATTACATATATAGACATATATAATTACATGATATATGTGGTAGAATTATGTAATGCGTTGTCGCGCAACTTGTGATCTGCCCTTGCCTTCAGGCATTGACGCGATCGATCGGTCTGGATGGCAAGCCACCGTGCTTTGGGTGGCATTCAGATTGTGGGTTGGTTGGCATGCATCGTCACTAGTGTCCACGGTGTTTTGCCTCAGCTTGAATTGAGCTAAAGTGGTGCTAGACCCAGTATACCACTTGCTTACGCAGGGAAGTCAGGTTAGTGGCAAGTGCTGAGGACGGCCTCCCAACCCTCACACTCGCATCATTTCAAAGCCTCAACCGGTGTAAGTGAGTTTTGCTGACTTGATTTGACAAATCCCCAAGCCACCACATTTTCCCGCGACAAGCCAAAAGCAATCAGCGCATTGCCACTGAAAGTCTTCTCGCTTCCCTCCAAAGTGAGCAGGTTTGCCTCCAAAATGGGAGCACCTGTTTTTATTTACAAAAAAAGCTTGCTCATGGGCCAAAATGCGATGTTTAAACAAAAGGCGGGCGTAGAAGGCAGAGGGTATGCCGTTCACACACAAAAAACAATAGCCCCTCGTCACCCATCAAGATCAAAGCGACGCAATGGGCCGCTTCTTGCTTGCCCAGGCCAGTCATCGATGTAGCAAGTTTGGATGGCGGCACGTTCAGCGAGAAATACGAGGACGTGCCTTCATATGCGGCGGAAGGTGTTCAATTCGGTTAGAGGGAAAGTCGGCTCAGAAACGGAGCGGTGCCGTGTGGTGCTTCGTTGGTTGCTTTGGACCACTCGCCCTCGAGGCTCTAGGATTTGGCACACCGCTTGGTGGCACACGCGCCTGAGGGCCTGAGGGCCTGAGGGCCTGGATGAGCCGAAAGCCCAGGACATGGAGACGCGCGACATCAAGTACCACCCGCGTTACTTGAGGGGACAGGCGGGGGTTTGGATTTGGATTTGCATAGCGACGCGAGGTTCGATTTGAAATCGCATTGCAAAATCGAGCGAGACTGGAAAGTCCTTTTTCCAGGGTTAGTCAGCAAGCTCCTTGCGAACTTAACGCCGAAGACAAAAGTGCCGTTCGCCGCTTTACCGTGCGTGTGGTGTTGCCCATATATTGCAACGGTATGTCAACCAGCAAACTTGCTTTGGCACTGCGTTTTCAAGAAGCTGACGTGCCAAGCTGTTCCGGCAGACTGCTCTGTGCCCGGCTTTGTCGGGAATCTGTTCATTCAAGCTACGCCTACTCCTGCAGGTTTTCAACCCGGCTGGGGCAAACTCCGATGCGCTCCAATGGCTCTCAATGACTCATGAAGTGAAGCGCCGCAGGTCTTCTTTTCTGCAGCCGCGACGACCATGGTGGCCAGCTCTATGCACCTTGGATGGGTACAGTTGGATAGGCCATGGCTTGGTTTGCAGGATGCCAATTGCAAACCCTAAGCGTGGCTTGCAAGTGGGACGCCCTGGAGACTAGGTGTTGATTCCGCAGGTACAATCCAAACTTGATCACCCTGATCGACGCTCTCATTGAGGCCACTTGCAAATTGGGACCTCCAGATTCCAAGGGTGGGCTACAGAAATCCTCGCTGGTAACTCCGCACAACTCGCAGCCATGCCATGCATGATGTGGTTTGAGCAGATTGAGAACAAAGAGGATGACATGGCACCTTTGGCAGGTTGTTTAAGTCACGGTTTGACTGGAGCCGATAGCAAATCTGAGCTCGTTCTGACCAACATTTGGTGGCCCTCCTTTGAGTGTTGCCTAGCAATGGTAGCGGCTCAATGCACATGTTGCGAAATAGTGCAGCCCGGTGAAGTTATGAACAGAGAAGCGGCAAGGCCTCCAAGAGACAAGAACCAAACCAACAACAGGCGCCGATGTTCATGATTGATGTGCCGAAGGCTGGAACTCAGACACGCCAACTGTCTGCATTGACAGGTCGACATGTCGATGTGTTTGTCATGCTCAAACACCTCGCCTTCCCAGACTTTCCTTGCGCACTGACAAATCACACAGCCTCTCAAGCAGGTCTTCTACCAATCACGGTACCAGGACCTGGCGATTTGGCTGCTGAGGCCAGGCCAGCAAAACACTTTTCTTCTCCCGCCTGAAACCACGTCAGTGATTCTCCATGAAACATTCAGCGGCCCCGAAAATTTAGGGTTTCTCACTAGGTGTCTAGTCTCTTGTGGTTTGGGTTGCTTAAAGGTCAAGGGTTCCAAAGTTCCAACATGTTCAAAGAGATCGGACATCGCCAGGGATCGTGGGCTCTTGGCCTTGGCTCTGTACCGGAGTGCGGAGGCCTCTCAGGCAGGCTCTGTCTCTCAAGGGAGTGTCTCACTAGGCCTTTTCCGCTTACGTTGCACTCAAACGCATTTTGGAATGGTCAACCAATCGAGGTCGGAAAAAGCTGAAGCTCGTTCTTTGAATGCATCCCACATTGGCCTAGAGAAAAGAAAGCATGTGCTGCCATGCATCATTTTAGTCAGTTGGGCCTCGTTCCTGCAGATTGGGTGCAAAAACAATTGAGCCTCATTGCGACATTTGTTCTCTGCACACGTTCGTGCCAGTCTGCCCACACCGGAGACTTTCTAGACCAAGCCACGCCAACCCACGACTTTGCTCTTGTCTCAGAGTGCCTCTGCGTTTTCCACTGCTTTGCATGACCACAGGGCTTTGATAGACTTGAGTGGCACGGTTTGCAGGTGTATACATGTCCGGACGGCAGCAAGACTGTGGTGTGCGAGCCTCATTGCCTTTGCCGGGCAAACCGATAAGCCGATCTCCCAGGGTGAAAAGCGACCGCATCATCGTGACCTCCATCGGCGTCGCCATGACCAAACCCACGGAGATGGGGCCCGTGGCCCAGCTGCGCATGCGCGCGAGCCCCGAATTTCAGTTCCCACGAGTGGTCTTGAGTTAGTATCAGGCGAGTTGTACCGCCCTATTAGGACGTATCCTTCTCAGCAGGTTTCTTTGTCCCAGCCTGCAAAAGGTTGCGCGCAAGGGAAATACCAATTTGCCCACTTGCGCAAGGTCCGCAGGCGGCAGGGAAAGCACAAAGCGGCGGACGCTTTCAAAACCAGAAAGCCCGGCGGAAAATCCGCGTAAGCTCAGCGAGAGCTCCAGAAAGCGTTGCGTGCCTTTCGCCTTGCAGCCTTGCCTGCTTTTACACAGCGCCAGCGGCCTTCACGCATTTCCGTTTTATAGATTAAATCCCCAGCGGCCTTCACGCGCAACGCGAACACCAGCTGAAGCATTACTTCCCCATCCACGAATGCGCCGCGCAAGCCATCGCCTCATCGCCTACAAAGGAACCCCCTGATGCCGCGGAACGCCCTCGCGAAAGCCAAGTGCTTGATGTTTCTCTTCTGCAGGGTTCAGAGCAGCACCGCTAATTTGTGAAGGGTAAAGTGTTTGTTTCTGGTCTGAAGTCGGAAGCAAGCTGGCAAGCGACAGATCAGTTTGATGCAGTCCATGCTTAGAGCTCGTGTTTCCTTACGCTGGCAAGGACGCAAGGCATGAAGAACAAGATGAAGAAGGCTGGGCCAGGGCCAGTGGCACAAGTTCGCGACAAAGTGGGCCTTCAGCTGACAGAGCGGCCCTCTGCGGAACGCCGATCAGGCCCTCGAAAACATTTACGGCACCATGGACGTGTGGAGCCCAGCTCATGTTTGTGCGCGTCATGCACATCATGACCATGTGCAGGCTATACCCAATGCGAATGAGTTTGATGATCATGTTGAGGGTGTCAAAGCCAAGAGGAAATTACTCAGCTTGAGGATTCCCCTATTTTGAGCTTGATTTGTTGTGCATGGCGCTATTCAACCGTTGGATGCTGAGGCTGCGGCCAAAGCATGAGGACGTCAGTGTGAGTGTGGTGTTAAACCAACGCAAACTTGGCAAGACCTTGACAGAGCCCTCCGGGAGGGTTCCGGAGCAGGGAGGCTCGGACATGGCGACGCTCCGTCAAGCATGTCTAGCTTTCCCCTTTGCGTCCCAAACTGGGCAACTCCCTGTGTCTATCCTCGAGTCTCCGCAGGACGGAGGATCCCACTGTGTCACCCTTGAGACGCTGGAGGAGTGGCCAAAACCACGACCCCGATTGCTATGAACCTGGCACGACCCAGGCACACAAGACACGGGGATGCAGGAGAATGCGTGTTGGCAGAGTATATACAGTTCTACGATGGTTTTGGCTACTCAAACGTTCAGCTGGGCTCAGTATGCCCGATCGCTCTGCTAAGCAGAGAATGTAGCAGCATGTGGGTAGCGTACTTTCTGGATCCGGAGTGCGCCTGTCTATTTGGTCTCAAAGGGGTCGCCTGGCTTGCTTCGGAATGAGCGGCTGCCCATTCAAGCAGAAGCGGAAGTCAATGGGCCAACTCGCAGCCATTGAGCTCATAGTTGGGCACAATGAATCAGCTCAAGCAGCTTGCAGAGCTGAGCCTCAACCAAAACCACCGAGAGGATTGACACCCTTGCTGTTCCGTTTGTGGTTTTGGGCCTTGGCTCTTTCCCGAGTTTTGGGCATGTAATGAGTCCATCAGACCTTGGAGCTCTTTTTGCTAAATCTCTGTTGGATCGATGGATTGGATGAGACGCGATGGTCTAGCCACGGCAACTCTCTGACTTGCCATGGATGCCA